TGCCCAGTATATTGAAGTACCTCTCAAATACCATAGAAGAGCACGATCAAAAGCTATGAGGCTCACTAGGCAGGATATCTGTGACTATCAATCAACCCATAGCGATAATAATCCTAACACAGAAAGCATAGAGCGAAAGAGGGGGGCGGAGGAAGGGAAGGAAGTAAGATATTGCTCCAATCAATAAAAAGAGATCTATCATACGTGTATATATAAATAAATTAACCCTAACCCTAACCCAGAAAGCATAGAGCGAAAGAGTGGGGCGGAGGAAGGGAAGGAAGTAAGGTATTGCTCCAATCAATAAAAAGAGATCTATCATACGTGTATATATAAATAAATTCTCTTCCATGGGCAAATTTTCCTCGATAACTTGGTCGGCATACCGCCTGTGAGCCTCAAGCTAACCATATGGGGCATAATATCAGTGAGTCTCATACAAATTCTTCCAAGAAATAGGCTCGATGATATTCTCAGTGGTTGTTCTTTATGCTGGGAATCTAAGGACTCAAAATCCGATCGCAATAGCCTGTGAGGGCGCAAAATTAGAATAGCCGCAGCAACTCGGCTGCTGAGCTAAGCAACTCGACACTTTCTGCCTCGGTTCGGCAGTGATTTCAGCATTTGGGGTTACGAGTCATGAAAAGAGAGCAAATATGAGTGGGAATATTATGACTCACACACCCGAAACCACACCACATATAAACACACACTACACCTATACTCACACATACTCAAGATCAAACTGTACTCACATACGTACTACACTATCCCTTAGACTCACAGGCACTCATACATCATACTGGGTATACCTCACCATGATTCGGTTTCTGCGAATGCCAGCCGTTTCTGGAAAATAACCAAAAATCCGTTCCGGCTCATCAACAACTAGTGCCCAGTTTAATTTCTTCTATTTGTTACAAGCTCACTCTGAATCGCTTGTTCCTTCGTCACTGCTGGTGCTGTCATCCACTTCATATTCCCGCACCCATTTCACAAACTTTTGCGTCCGTGCTTCTCTGAACAACTTACTCTTCTCGTCCAAAGAATCGTCCTCATTGTAGGCGTCTGCCCATGCGACGGCTATAGCTGGAGATAGTAAACCTTCGTTCACATACGTGAGCAATACGAGTCCAAAAATATCATACAGAAGGCGTGATGCGCCAGCCTGATCTCCTATTCCTTTCGACTCTAAAGCATAAGCTTCTGTAGCCTCCAACAAAGCCTCTTCCACTTCGTCTTCTTGATTTAAGGCGACTAAAAGCGGTTTCCAGTGCTGGAGCTGTGTAGCAATATTTGAAATGGCCGCCTGCTCGGACAACCTGGGCTGAGCGGCGACTAAATTTGAATCCCGGGCTCCTGAGGGATCCGTGTCGACTCCTGACACGCGCCCCCGAGCATGATTCTGCTCCCCTGCCCCCGAGGTGCGGCGTGAAAGGGAGGAGTCTTTCTCAGCGTGGCGACACACGGCGTCAGGGTCCAAGGCCAGGTCTAGCAAGGCAGGAACCACAGCACGCATCACGGCTGCATAGGAACGGTTCTGGGCAAATTTAAAAGATTTGATCTCCAGCAATAGGTTGGAGATCGCGTGTCGCGAGGCAAAGCCGGATATAATCATGTCCCGCACCACCTCTGCAAAGTCGTCATCAGACGTACAATTCGTATCTGCTTCTCCGGCAGATCCTTCCAGCCGAATCCCATACACAGCGCCGGCAGTCCCTCGCTCAGAATCTACTCCTGCCATGCTCCTGGCCAGTGCCGAGGAGAAATCCGTCAGGTCAGACTCCGGACCTCGTCTCCCCCCGTCTTCATCTATATAGATGCCTTCCTCCTCCTCTTCCTCTTCGTCCAGGACTTCCCACCGCCGCCGGCGATCCTCGTCCGCCTCAATGGCCCCGATGCTCTGCGCGCGGACATCCAGCATTGAGACTCTCTCGCCATCGAAGCAGGGATTCCAAGGATGCCCAATCCCATCAACACCGACACAACCGGTGTCGGTGACATTGTCCGACTCCCCTCCCCTCTCGGTTGACAGGCCTTCTGGTCCGTCTCGACTCTCTATCCGCTTGATGGGGGAGGCCAAGACCGATAAAGCCGTGCCCATCACACCGTCCCTCTCTACGCCACCTTCTTCCTCCCAGGAGCTCACAGGCGTCGCTGTGAGACGCGAGAATGGCGGCAACTCCACTCCCTTGCCCACCACTACCCCGTAGGACAGCAGCGAGCCCCGTCCCACGCGTGCGCCCGCCCTCACCACCACGCCGTCGCTCAATATGCTGCTCTCCACGACTGCGCCGTCCTCCACCACCACGTCCTGCCAGAGATGTGAGTCCGAGATGTGCACGCCGGACCCTACCTTGACACGCCGGCCTAAGACGCTCTGAGAGAGCACCGAGCCCGCCCCAATGCTGGTGCCTCGCCCGAGCATGACGCTTTCACTGACCGTGGCAAAACGAGAGACATGCACGCTCGCCCCACCAGCGTCTTCCTCCTCACGATAAAGCCAGCGCTTGTGGTACTGATAGGAGGTGGGCTCGCCGGCATGGAAGCGGTTGGTCTCAGGCACGCTCGGGTACAACCACCGGTGGAGGAGGTCCTTGGAGACAGCGTGGTAGACGTGGGGGTCGTGCACTCGCGCCGCATACTCGTGCGGGAGCGTCACGTGTGAGTAGACCTTATTACCCATCTCTCGGCTCTCCACCTCGTGGCGGAGAAAGCGGCCCATGTCCTGATAGTCCCAGTTGTCCGAGAAGGCGACCAGGACCTCGGGCGAGCAGACGTAGATATGGCAGTCCATCAGGTCGCTCCGGAGCACGATCTCCGGATGTCCTTCCTCTTTGAAGAGGTCCAGCTCCACGTCCACCCCGCTCTCCTCGCCCTCGTCGTCCTGGTACAGCACAAGCTGAGCGGTCTCAGCGTCCAGTCCCACGGCCAGGTCCTCCCGCCGAGCGTGCACGGCCGCGTCGTACCCCACCTTAGACAGCACCACGGTGCAGATGGAGAGGCTGTTCTCAGCCCTACGCCGCTTGTGCGCGGCCACCACGCCCGCCAAGTCCACGGTCGCGACCACGTCGCCACTGATGAGGACGAAGGGGTTGGAGCGGACCAGGCCTAGGGTGTCCATCTCCCGTAGCGCGTCCCCCGTGCCCATGCATTTGGCTG